TTTTGGATTTTCTGCCTTGAAAGAGTTTCATGTTTCAAAGTCTTCCTTGTGTGGTGGTTTGGCAGGCTACTGTAATCCTCGCACATCAAGTTTAAATTACATTTCCCAGTGTCCGTGGAGGGCTCAGCTCTGAGAAGGCTGATTAGGATCCATTTCAGGGCTCTGCTTAGCTTGGGGCCCTGATGTGGATTTTGTGTAGGAGCCAGGTCCTTTTGCCGCCAAGCATGAGAGTCTGGGCCATCAGCAGGCCCTTTAGGAAGGTTCTGGGGAGCAGTAATGGCAGGGTCTAGAGGGGGAGGCCGGGTGGGCTGAGCACAAGGGCAGGGACCGACCGGGACTGAGCCCTGGAGAAGGCTTTTGTGGAACCCAAAGGGATTTCTGTTTCAGATAGGCAGGAACCCCACAGGACACATGTTACAAGGGTCAGGGGCCAGTGAATGAGATCAAGTATTGCTTGCTCCTCCATGCCATTTAAGCGCCTTTCTCAGAGGGTTTCAGAACAGTCTGAGGTCTGTTGTTTGCCTCTGCCCAGGTACTTGGGTATGACACCTGGAAGGGACCCCATGCTAGCTGCTGTACAAAGGCGTTGGCCACTCAGGGAACGTCAAGCCTGTGTGGATGGACTGCGAGGGCACTGCGGTCTTCTCTAATGAGCTTTCAGTATCACACCAGCATTTGTGTTTAGGTCACACAGTTTCAGGAGGTACTCTGAAAGGGAACTCGGGGTTCCCACAAGGTGTTTCAGTGGGTAAAGGAGCGTGTGGCTAAGCCTGACGATCTGAGTTCAATCCCCAGGACCCCATGGCCGAAAGAGAACCCATTCCTTTAACTTGTCCTCTGACCAATACATGCCCTCCCCAACTCCCCACAAAATGATCTTTTACAAAATTAAAAAATAGTAGAGGGGGATTTAGTAGATGTGCCCATACAGGAAGAGGGCTGACCTCTGGCCATCTGTTCCTCATGTGTTCTTAGAGATGTCTCCCTGTCAGCTGGGTGGCAGGAGCCAGCCAGCGGTGTCCCGAGAGAGTGGAGGGGGTTACATATGGAGTATGGTAATAAGCCCAAACTGGTGAGTTCCGACAGTCAGATGTTGAGCTGGACTTCAGCCAGTTGTCAGCCGGCTTCTCTGCACAGTGCTGTTGGTGTGGTATTGAATTGCTACTCAACACCCGCAATGCATTATTCTTAGGTTGTGTTTGTAGGAATCAGAGTTGACAAAATGTCTGTAGTCCAACAGTGTAGGGAATGTAGGTCTTAAAAATAATCTTTCATTTCACTTGCTTTTTCCAACCTCTTCTAGACTTGATATATTAGTCAGTCCTCAACAAAGGCATTTGTTTTGCCTAAAGACTCCCCATCCCACTTGCTTCTTCTGAGTAGGGGCCAGATGCTCTTATAGCCACGTCTGGCATGGAAAACCCTCTGAAGGCTATACCGAGATTTTTAAAAATTTAATCAATTGTTGTGTCACATGTCATTTTTGTGTGTGCGTGTATGCATGCCGCAGTATATATATGGAGAACAGTGGAAGTCGGATCTCTTGGGTTGTCAGACTTGGCAGCAAGCACTTTTACTGGCTGAGCCATCTCACCAGTCACCCTCTTTACTTTTAAAATTAATTAATTTAATGTGTATGTGTGCCTGAGTACATATATGTGCCTGTGCCTGTGCGTGAGCGTGTGCTTGCGTGCGTGCGTGCGTGCGTGTGTGTGTGCGTGTGCGCGCGTGCGCCTCACCTTCCTGGAACACTCAGACCAAATCCATGTTTGACGGGATGGAGAGTCAGGTCTAGAAGCCTTACATAAAGGTTAGCACATAAGGGAAACCAGCTGACAAAGATGAAGGCTGGAAACCAGAAGGCCAGCTAGAACAGGTTGGGGCCACTGCAGAGGTGTCTGAAGGTGACCTGCGGCTCATTCTAATGCTAAAAAACACACTCCCAGGTGACCAGAAATCCTGAGGTCTCTCAGCTAACAGGATTCAAGAAGGTAGACATCCCATACTGTCATAGACTTAGAGAAGATGGAGGCTCTTGTAACAAGTCCCCAGTCAACAGTCATCAAGTGTCAATAGCCATCAAGTGTCAAAAGTCACCAATGTTAACAGTCATCAAGTGTCAACAGCCATCAAGTGTCAACAGTCATCAATGTCAACAGTCATCAATGTCAACAGCCATCAAGTGTCAACAGCCATCAATGTCAACAGCCATCAAGTGTCAACAGCCACCAATGTCAACAGCCATCAAGTGTCAACAGCCACCAAATGTCAACAGTCATCAATGTCAGCAGCCATCAAGTGTCTGTCAACAGTCAACCATCTCCTGTGCCTCATCTTAAAGAAGATCTTGCCACATTACAGAGGCAGGGAGAGAAGTGTGAGAAAGCTATAGAGATCAGTAAGGAGCAGTCAGCTCTGTTGGGTATCAGAGAGCAGCATACATTTTGCCTGCATGTATACTGATCCAAGTACCAACAAGGCACAGAGATAATAAGGCATAACTCACCATAGGAGCCCACCCTGGACCCTCACCACCTGGTATTAGATTCATAACCATGATGGAGGATTCCAAGTTCTATGAATGATTTTTTTTTTGATGCAGAGAAGTATGTGTATCCTCTCCATTCCCTTTCATGAAGAACGAAGAAGGGCCCATGGTGCAGCGTATAACCAGGTTGTCTTTCAGTTCCCTCCTGCTGTGGAATGCAGCCTGTGAGTGTGCGTGCGTGCGTGCGTGCGTGCGTGCGTGTGCGTGTGTGTGTAGCTCTATCAGAAAACATGGTCTATCACCACATTCTCTCTTAGCAAACAGGACTAAAGCAAAGTGACATCAGGTGGGTGGAGGGTGGACGGAACACAGGTGATGGTGTCCTGGGTGGTGGTGAGCTCAGTGGCGTTAGCCAAAAGGAGGTCATACAGGCCATGAAGGGGAATGGGAGCGGCCATGGCACTCTCTGCTTTGTGTCTGGGCCCAAGTGGCTGGAGCAAGAGAACTTTCTTCTCATTCCAAAAGCCCACAGGAAGGGAGCTGCCTCCCCTTACCCTACCACAGGCCTTTTCAGATTCCAAACACTGAATCTTGTTCTCTACCCACAGGCCAGAGGTCCTCTCAGCTGGAAGACTCTGGGGATGGAGACAAGGGAGTGTTAAGAGTCTATTTGATCATGTAGGGCAAACAAAGGACAAGTTGGAAGATTAAAAAAGAGGAAATATTTGCTGTTGTCAAGTACATAGGGAAATGTAGACTTTGCTAAGCCTGCGGTGGGAGGCTTAGCATTTCAGGAAGGCAGTTTGCACCATGAACCACATCCCTCCATGACTCCATTCTAAGGACACAGTGAGGGATTTGTGCAACTTTCTGATGCTAAGGTCATCCGCCATGGTGCTGTTACAAGATATGTAAAACCAGGGACAACCTTGACTCTAGTGCTGGGGAACTGGGGGACTGCTGACTACAGAGTTAGCACATTATGATGTGGCTGGAAGTGGCCTCCTAACAACACAGGGAGAGGTTTGTGTCAGGGAACAACAGGCTGCCAGGTAGCGCAAGGATCTGCCATGCGTGGGTGTGTGAGATGCGGACAGCATGCACCGTGTTTCCTTCCGTCTCCAGGTACTCTTCCAAGGGGAGCATCATTAAGTTTAAAGCAATGGAGCTGATCATTAGTCTGGGGAAAGTATGCTAAACACACAGTTTCCCTGGAGTTTCTAGACTGTTTACACACTCTAAACAGTATTTATTGTATGTATATTTTTCCAGGCTGAGAGCTGAACCCACAGAAGCAGAGGAGATGGCTCAGTTGGTACAGTGCCTCCTGAGCAAGCACGAAGGTCTGTGTTCTGACATCCAGAACCCGTGTAAAAAACGCCAGCAGCCATGGTGGCACTGATTTACACCCCAGTGCTGGGTAGGAGAGACAGGCAGAATCCCATTTCCTGGCCAGCCACTTTAGCCTAATCTGTGAGCTCTAGGCCAATGAGAAACTGTGCCTCGAGATGACTCAGGGGACACAGGTGCCTGCCATCAAGCCTGGCAGACTTCCATCCCTGTAACATCCATGGCAGAAGGAGAGGAGGGATTCCTGAAAGTAGTCCCTCTAACCCACAAGTGTGGGTCATGGCACATGTGTACATACACGCATATGAGTATGTGAGTATGCACACATAGGAACTGAACCCCTGGCTTAACATGAGAGGTACTTCGCCTGAATATATGCTGAGGGTATGTCTGGATAATTTAACTCACGAATTGTCCAAGAATAAGCTGAGCCTATGAGAAAACCTTACATCAGAGAAACAGGTCAAGACAGAGACAATGCCATACTCATCACACTTAACCCCTGGATGCCATGTAACATTTTTTCTCTATTAATGTTATCATGTTTGATCACTGCATATGTATTGTTTTCTAACCCCAAAGAAATTAAGTATTTGGATTTAAAGCATCCATCCACAATACTCTAGAGACTGTTCCTGTAATAGGCATTTAAAAACTGCTTTGCCGAAGAGCACTGGTTATTCATTTGTGCCAAAGCATGGTGAGAGCCTGGCATTTCTGCCTTCGTTGTGGCTTCCTTACCTCTGGGCCAGGTTCTGCTTGTCTCTTAATGAGTTTTCACCTAAAAATCCACAGTACCCAAGCTTTGTCATTCCACTTCCAGGCCGAAGTCACAGATAACATTGTCTACAGCTATAGTCACCTTGGACTCTTGCAGACATAGTGCGATCGCTTCCCATGCAGGAGCAAACATCTTATGGGTACCAGGCTGATCTCCTGGAGCAGTATCAGCAGTAACCCTTCGGGATGGGTTTGCTTTTCTGAGGGCAGGTATGATGAGGTGATTGTGGTCCCTTCTCTCTCTCTAAAGTGGTCCAAAAGGACCCCCTCAGTACCTGTACTGTGAGGGGGAACCTCTTTCTAGGTTCAGCAGCCCTGGGGAGGCCTGCGATTTGGTGTCCTTGGTGGGAAATCTGCAGGCACCCGTGGTCACCAGACTCACCTTCCACAGTAACACAGCCAGCAGCAGGAAGATGAGGATTCCCACCAGCAAACTGATGGCGATGATCCACCCCACAACGTAGCCACGGGGCTCCAGATTGTGCAAGGCCTCGAAGACCACCTAGAAGTCAATGCAGAAGTGAAACCATGAGGCCGAGGGTCACCTCCTGAAAGGGCTATGTTATAATGACCCTGATTTCAAATATCACAAACTGAACAAAAGTGTGGTGGAAAATGTCCTGACATGCCACGTTCCCAAATAAGATGACAATCTTCTCCACCTTGTATTCTGGTTCTGTGATAAAGAACACAGGGTGTTTTCTCAAGCAGTGAGATTTCTCAGTGTTCAACTCAATGTGCTACCTAGCATGGAGTCATTTGCTCAAGACTAGCTTTTCCCAGTAGATTGCGGACCCCTCAAGGGCTAAGCCACTGTCTTGGGTCTCACAGCTGTGCCTACTAACCTGTTAAAATAATTCCTTCAAGATGTGCTGTCATTTCTAATCTGAGCCACATGCTGCTGCAGGCCTCATCTCATCGAAGCACGTTTGTTTATTTTTATTTATAGATGTGCGTGTATCTGTGTGTTTATGTCTACCATACGCATGCAGGTGTCCCCAGAGGCTAGAAGAGGGTTGGATTCCCTGGAGCTGGAGTTATCAGAGGTTGTGAGCTACCTCATGTGAGTGCTGGCTATTTAACTTGGGCTCTCTTTAGGAACAGCAAGGGCTCTGAACTGCTGAGCCATGTCCCCAGCCCCCCGAGGCACACTCGACTTCCGACTTCCGTTGGTGACCTAGAGCTGGTCTATGTCAGCTCTCAAGAGCCAAGTGTGCTTCAGGACACCCCGTGATGACAGTTCGCCAGATGGCGGTGGGAATGTCACAGCACAGGAACAGCAAGCCAGACAGCGTTCCTCCACCCTCTTGCAGGAGAGTGGGGACTTTCCCAGGCAGTGGCTCACACTGACCACACTCTCAGGCTTCAATTCCCGCGGGTCAGAGGGGTTGTCACTTGCACCCTCTTCTTCCAAAGGGAAAGCCAATCTGGTCATCTTCTGTCCCTTGTGTCTACTTCTGGAGGGAGGGGTGGGCCCAGTGACACGTGCTAGGGTAGGGGTCGGTGTGAACAGTTATCCGTGAGACTGTCTGACTCTTTGGCTTCACCAGTAGAACCTGAACCCAGGACTTGTCTTAAGGGAGATTCAGTGGAGCAGACATGCTCCTTCCAGTGTGGGGACAAGCTAGAGCAAAGTGCCTAGCAGAGCAAGGTGCCTAGAAAACCCAGCAGGCGCTTTGTGGGATGGGTTGTTTAACCAACGGCCAGGCGGCTTTAGGCAAAGTACTTGACCTCTCTGAGCCTGGATTTTTGCACCTGCGAGTCAGGAGCCTTCAACCCCTCCCTAGAGGTTCAGACAAAAGTCAGCAGACAAGGATCCTGAGCCAGGCTGTGAACTCAGAGGGGGGTTAATTGTAAGGTCCAGGATGCTGAAGTGTATCCTCTTGGCAAAGCCAAGCAAGAGGTCTGCTTTTGTGGATACAGAGATGAGAGAGAGTAGCCAGTACAATTTAGTCTGGCACGTTTTGTAAGAATGGCCGGTCACGTCCCGGGAATGTGGATGTTGTGTCTTTTTTTTTTTCTTCCTTTTTTTCTCAGTGGTCCTCTTGGATGTGAGTTCTAGGCCTTGGCAGATCAGTCTCTTCTATCCTGACTGCAATAAATTCTGTGAGTGATCTGCACGCCTTGCAGTGTGCTAAGAAACCACATCGTAGATTACAAACAAATGAAAAAAAAAAAAAAATCAAAACCAAATGAACAAAAAAGGGAAGGGAGCAAATAATGTGGAGACAAAGTGATCATCATCGCTCCACTGCCCAGACTGAGCCTCTCTGAATAGCTCCTCCCCCACCCCACTCCATTCCCATGTCGGTCTGCCCCGGTTCAGGTCCAGCCTTCACAGGCGCTCTGTCAGCCCCTCCCAGAGGCCCCCTGCCCTGAATTTGTTCTCTAAGAACGTAGGTCCCGACATGTCTCTTCAGGCATCTCACTATCTGGATGGCCCCTCTTCACTCTGAGTGTCTAGTTCAGGACACTAAGCTGTAACTGTCTGGTTACTCTCCCCCCCCCCCCCCCCCAGGTCACTGATTCACATCCCAGCCAGTTCATCTCCTCCCCACTGAGGTCTGGCTCTTTGTTTTCACTCTCTGGAATGCCCTTCCATCCTGGTTGTGTGACAGGCTCCGTAATGGCTTGTCTTAAATATGCTCACACTGTTTGACCTGTCAATTCTCTATTTGAAAAGGTGATCAAAGGCAGGAAATAAATACAAACTACAGGAAAAACAAAATTATGCTCAGAGATGTTGGGCTGGTGAGACGCCTCAGTTGCTGCCAGACATGACAACCTCAGTTCAGTTTCTGGGGTTCACATGGTAGAAGGAGGAAATAGACTCCCAAAAGTTATCCTCTGACTTCTACACATGCCATGTGTATGCCCCACATAGACACACGTGCACACAAGCACACTTTAAGTTAAGAGAACTGGAAGATTCCCACTGCAGAATTAAGTCACACAGATGCAGAACCAGACTATCCTAAGTGTCTAAGGCTGGGGAAACTGGTTAACTAAAGATTGGTTAATCACAAAACAGAACACAGAACCAGAACTATCCTAAGGGTTTAAGGTCATGGTGACAGGTAGCTAATGGTTAGCCACAAAATGGAACATCACAAGCTATTAAAAATGACAACTGTTCTATAAATTACATTTGTCTCTGTATATATTTGTGTGTATGTATGTGTACAGGTGTGTATTTATGTTTTGATATAGGGTCTCACTCTACAGCCCAGGCTGGTCTGGAACTTACCATACAGCTCATCCTGGCCTTGAATTCATAGCGATCCACCTAAGTGCCAGGATTACAGGTGTACACTACTACACCTGGACTGATGTGCAACTTAAGCATTTTATTAAGTTATTTTTTTAGCATATGGGCATTTTGCCTGCATGTATGCCTGGCACCATTCATAAGCTGGGTGCCCTTGCACCAGAGAGGACAATGCATCCCCTGGAACTGGAGTCTCAGATGGTTGTGAGCTGCCATGTGGGCACTGGGAATGAAACCCAGTTCCCTTCATGAGAAGCCAGTGCTCTCAACCAGCGAGCCATCTCTCTCTACTGCTGCATACCATCTTAACAAATTAAGAGCGTGACCCTTGAACAAACATATAGTGAATATATGTGAAGAGACCCACTATGTAGGGAGTCAGCAGGAGGGTAGAGTGGGCTCAACAGGGATGTCGCGGGGATGGGGAATCACGCTGACATCAGGCGAGTAAATCAGACTCAGAGCTGGCCAGAGCTCTATAGGAAGACGCGCTTGGGGTTATATTTTTGGTCAGACAGAAATTACTTTTTCCTCACTGATACACCCATAGCTTCTTCCAGAGCAGCCTCCCAGATCTTATTCCTGAAGGACAAGACTTTTTAAGGGGACAAGGGTCTGTCACCACACAGAAACCCTCAGAGGGTTAAGACTGTTCATCTTAATTCTCCTCCTGACTGCATGCCTGTGGCTTGGGTGGAGACAAGGCCACAAAGGGGAAGAGCTCTGCAATTAACTGACCACTAAATCTGAATGTGGTGTGCTCCCAAGGCCACCACAGGTGCAGGTTGCTTCTGAGGAAGAGGGTCAGCTGTGTATCACCCTGACTGATTCTTGCTTGCTGCTTAGGAAGTCCAGCGCGTCTGCAACAGTGCATGTACATATGTGTGCATATGTGTGTGCACATGTGTGTCTATCCAGATGGGGCTCTGGAAATCTAGAGCCATAATTAGTGGCCAGTGAAAGAGTGGTGGATTGGACATCTTGCCCCTCTAAAACATTGTCCTCTGTGGCTGTGGTTTCCTTGGGGACCAAGGATTCTGTATGTGTGTGTGTGTGTGTGTGTGTGTGTGTTCCCAGATATCCTACTCTTGACTCAATGAAAGCACGTTTGTGTGTGGAAATGGATTCTGTCTGTTAAATGGCAATGCTGATGATTGTGAGGGTGACTGGGAGCCACTGATTCAGAGTCGGGTGGGGCTCCATTTGCTTGGCTAACTTTCTTGGCCATCTCTTCCATGATGATGGTCACCACTAACTACTGCCCGTGTGGACGCACTACGCAAGGGGCTTTGTAACAAGATAACATTCGAGTCTTCCCAGTTGTTCAGGATGGACATGCCACGGATTCCCCATCCTTAAAATGCACTACTCACTTCAATCTCCTCTACCAGGGTTACTATCACCAGGCGAGAGTGTTGCCCTTCTAACCAGCTCCTCATTCCCACCCATACCCCTGTAATCCAGCATCCACACTATAGTTTGTGACTTTAAACTATGTACATCAGGGTTGGTGAGCTTGCAGCCAAGCCTGATGACCCGAGCTGGATCCCTGGAGGGAGAGAGCCAACTCCCATGCTCCCATGTGTAGTGAGATAGTCCTTCTGTGGCACTGACCACGCCCATTGGGGGGGTGGAGCCATGGGCGAAGTGACCTGTGGAAGGAGGTTGGAGAGAGGGCCGGGAAAAGCTCTCTTGCTGGCGTGACTCGGACAGGAGAGCATCGGGTGGAATCCCCTGGTGTTCATCTGTCTAGTTTGTAAGTTATTTCTCCCTGAATAAACATCTATTCGGCCTATTTGTTTATCCTGATCCTTATTTAACCGTAATACCCATGCGTTGTCCTCTGACGTCTACATGCACACACACAATAAACAAACAAACAAATGCAATAAAAATTTCAAAGAGGCTCAAAGAGACTGCTTAGTAGATCCAGAGCATTTTTCATTCTTCCAGAGGACCCAAGTTCAGTTCCCAGCTGCCACATGGCAACTCACATACAACTGTACCTAAGTTCAGTTCCAGAGGATCCAATGCTCTCTTCTGACTACTCCATGTTGACCAGGCATGCAAGGGGTGCACATGAAACTATACAGGCAAAACATGTAGACACGTTGTTCTTAGAGTTTCTATTGCTGTGAGGAGACACCATGACCATGTCAACTCTTGCAAAGGAAAACGTTTAATTCAAGCTGGATTGATTAAAGTTTCAGAGGTTTAGTCCATTATTGTCATGG